TATATATATATATATATATATATATATATATATATATAGATACTTTGAAACTTTTTAAGCATTTTTCGTTGGGTTTTATAAATACTACATTTAACAAGTTTATGTCAGAATACAGGACTGCAATACGTTAAGTGCAAGTATAGAGCATCTTTATTAATGTAGTTATTATGAATAGTTGGCACAGGCAATGGCACCATTGCAGTGTAGCACACAAGAGTCACACTGTCTTATTTAATTTATGAGCTGAGGCATTCATCAATGTCATATGATGTCCAATATATTAAACTGTCGCAACTCCAGACACTGATTTTACATTTTTGTGTACATAGAAAAATTCAATGAACTATCCAGTCTAAATCTAATTTCCAAGTAGTAGTACTAAAAACCACTTGGTAGTATTTCAGTACTACTAAGTAGTTTGAAATCAAAGGTTTTACAAAATTTCTAAGAAAGAATTTACACTTTAAAAAAAGTACTCTAAGGAACGAGTAAAATCAGCTGAAATAGCGAAGCAATCTGAAAGGGTTGACAAGCAATCAGTGTGTACTATCATTACATTGCATTCGGACCTCTATTTAACAAAGTCACTATATCCCGAGAATAAATTTGTTACAAAGAAAATAACCTAAATAGAAAAATCACCTTTTGAAATACTTAAACATAAAACAGGTTATAAATTCATTAACACAAGACATAATTAAAATAGCGATGGATACACCTTTATCTTGTAAACTAGCATCTACTATTTATTTTATAAATCTTAAGCACAAAATAAATCTGCATGGAAAGCAAGAATAGAGCAAAACATTATCCAGTACATTTTACATATACTTTCAACTAAAAAGACGCTAAATTTATGTATAAAATTATAGCTGAATTTAGTATAAAAATAATTTTAAACATACATCACGACATGCGTTCTGAAGTTTAATTGCTACTGATTAAACACGTTAATTTTGTCTCAGTTTTGTTTGAAATGTAAGCAAAAAGGGATTTTACTGCTTTCTCTAAAAGTTAAGTGGCTTTAAAAAATCAAATCAAGGTCATTTCCTTCATAAAATGCGTCAGCAAGTTTGAAATGTTCTGAAATATTTCAGAACATTTCAAACATGTGAATTTTAAAGAAAAGTTCGTTAAATAAAAAATTCATTTCTATTTGGAAGTTATTTTACCAAGAAATTTCCAAAACGTTCTTAGTTTCTTGAAGAAAAAAAATCGCAAATTAGAGAAATTCGCAAAAGGGAAGTTCGTTTAAAAGAAGTCCGACTGTATTTAAAAAATATTGCAATGAAAACTTGTGATGAAACCGAAATAATGAATTAAAAAGAATTTCTTATTGTTAATAGATTGCAGAATAAATATTATGTATTGCTATCATGTACATTAAAAAATTTCTTTTAGGCAATAACAATATGAGTAACTCGAGTTGATTGTAATTTGTAATTCTTAGTTGAGGAAAAGCTTCTGCAAAATACAATTGTATTTTGCTTGTTCCTACTAATTTCATTTTTCTGTAAGGTAAAAACTTACCTGCCATTAATGAAATGAATAATATTTTACTCAGTGAGTTAACTGTGATGTTATTGGCGTGTATAGAAGTCTATTTTTGATGTTATATAAATGTTTTAAGGAATATTTGATCTTGAATTTTATGAGATTCGATTGGGCTACTTTAAATATTTGGAAGGATTTGGAAACCAGGCAGTCATTTTTTTATACATATAAATCACTTATTAGAAGAATTATCAATAATAAATTATTTATCCTACCTATTGCAGATAAAATACATTAATAAAAAATACAGCTATTTTCATAAATATTTCTTTAAAAAAAATCCTTTTTTTACTTTATTTAATTTTCCAAAAAAGCAACTAGTTTTTTTGAATTGCATTGCACTGCAATATAGTAGTAGTTACAGAATAATTTGAAAAAGAATAAAAACATCATAAAATCAATTTATATTCTGCATAGTTGCATTAAGAAAAATATCAAACTCAGTGAATAGACTACTCTCACATCCATAATGTTGACCATTAAAATAAATTTTTAAAACAAATTGACATGCCTTGTAAATTATG